CCATAAGTTTGAGTAAGTTCTTCTGAGTGGTCTTGTGACAAAAGCACAGAATACCTACGGTTACCGGTACAGAACTTTCTCTAACTGTCTTTTATCGGCTCATTTTTGTAACGGTTTACCGTTGTTCCCCGTTACCGTTGCATGCCTAATCGTCATGTGATAGGGCATGGTTGAAAGTCTATGTTTCCATGTGTTTTGAGGTTTCCAAACGAGAGTTTCAAGTGGTCCCAGAGCTTGCAGCAGATTCCGGTCTCCTGCCTAACTTCATCAGATGAACACCTCTTTCTTTCGTGGACTTGTAGAGGACGCCAAGAGCTATCATTTGTATATTTCAGACATCGCTATGGAACATAAATCTGTGACAATCTACTCTGTCGAAGGCTTGTCAGGTACATCACCTGCAGATGGTACCTTCGGCATTATTTTTCCATAGAATTATGTCTCCAAATCTATTTTTATATCTTGCTATAGATAGTAGTTATTTTTGATTGTGTGTGTGTGTGTATGTGTATTTCTTCTATAAAAACTATACTCGGACAAGATCGCGCGTTTAAATTTTACGCGAGTTTAATCTGCTAAATCATATTTAATGTTATATATCTGTCTATAGGGTATATTCGTCTGCGTCGTTCATTTGACTACGATGTACAATCTTCATATTGGTTAACTCTTCGTACAACGATATTTAATGCTCGACCACAATTTTCCCATATTCATGTTTATATCAGTATTCGAAATGAAAATAATTTTATTCCACAATGTCACCATGTTTACGAAGAAATTACGTTAGTCGAACAACATCAAACACCATTTATTCAAATTAAAGCCGTAGATAAAGAGAAAGATGATCAATTGAACTATGCTATCGTTGAAGGTGATGAAAAACAACTGTTTTATATTGATTCCAACAATGGACAAATTAGTTTTCAAAGACCAATGCATCAACGACAAGATAAACGAGTAAGTAAACTTTACGATATTTTAATATTATTAAAATATCTTCTCTTGAACATTGAAAAAAAAAAACGTTTTACCTACTTGTTTAGATCTATGTATTAACAATTCGTGTGTCGGATAGTGGTCGTCCAACATTGTCAAGTGATTGTTTATTAAAAGTAAATGTTTTACGAAGAAAAGATGTGCGACCACAATTTTTACATAATGAAAATGAAAATACTTATTATTTTGAATTACCCGAAATAAATCGATCTCGATTAAAACAACGTTTATTTCAAATTGTGGCTATTCTTAATTTACCAGAAAAGATGCAATTTAATAATAATTTACAAATTCGTTATCGTCTTCTAGATCCAACAAAACATTTTGTTATAAATAAGGAAACGGGCTATATTGCAGCAAGACAATCGTTAACATCCTATTCGATTTATTCATTTCAGGTAGATACAAAGACTAAATAGTGAGCAATTAGAATAATAACATGACAATATTTTATATTGTAGATTGAAGCATTTACAGTCATTCCAAGTTTATTTCAAAATGAAATCTATTCATCAAATAAAAAATATCGTTCAATATCTCAACGAATACAAATGCCTGTTAAAGTTCAAATTCTTCCATTTTCACGTTCAACCGTAAATCAAATGAAAATAATTCATACTATTCCATTAATACAAGAATTATTATCTAATAAACAAGTTGGTGATGAAATCATGAATTTAAATCAATTTGATACGAAAAAAAGTGAAAATCGTACAAAATGGTTTATTTTAAATGGAATTATGAATCAAACAAAATATTTTCACGTTAATTTACATACCGGACAATTATTTTTAATTCGATCAATTATGAAATTAATATCAGATTATCAATCGCTTAATATTACGATTAATGAAACAGATGATTGGAAAACAGTCATCATTTATCAAGTTCGTAGATAGAAAATAAAAAATTTTAATTTTTTAAATATTTGTAAAAATAAATTTATATTTAGATAACTATTCGAATTATTTCGATTAATATTGAAAATCGTTTAAAATTTACTCAGTTAAATTATTATGTATCCATTGTTGAAAATATTCCAGTGGGTGTTGAAATAACTCAAATGAATATTAATTCGACAAATTCATCATCATGTACATATGGAATACAAAATGTTGAACGAAAAAAATCTGATGGACTCTTTCGTATTAATCATTATAACGGTAAATATTTATACATTTAAATGAAAAATAATTTAATTTATATTTTATCATCGTTTAGGTATTGTTAGTACTGCTCGTCTTCTAAATAAACAAACAAATGGTGGTTATGATCAACATATATTAACTATTGTTTCCCATTGTCATCAAGATAATTTAGTTGAATTTTATGTTATTAGTACTCGATTACACATAAATATATTAGATTTAGAGAATGATAATATGAAAAATATGTCATCAATATTAGTTACAGAAAAAAATGATTATCAATTTTTAAAACAAAATTATATTGTTATTATTAATTCAACATTTTTAAATGAAAAAAAAGAATTAGTTAAATTTCAATTAGATAAATCAAATAAAATAATTAATTTTAAACCAAAAATTAATTCAGGTATAATAAAATTTATATTAAAAAATATAATTTTTTTATTAAAAATATATTTTAGGAGATCCATATGGTTTATTTACTATTGAAAATCATTCATTAATTCTATTAGATCAACGTCGTACTCGTTTATATAAATATCCATTAATGTTAACTATTATTAATGATTCCATTAATTGTACTGTCACAATTTACATTTCAAATATTGGATTACAAATGATATGTCCGGTATGTAAATTAACGTGAAAATATTTTGTTTGATTCATAATTCCATTTAAAATAAACCATTTTGTACGATTTTCACTTTTTTTCGT